GTAACTCTACTTGTTCTGGGTGCTCAGGTGAAGGGTGCAATAACAGTCCACCAATAATTGAGGAAGATGATGATGACATAGATCACGATGAAGATGTAATTGATGACGAATAAAATTAATATTATAATTGTTTTACCTATAAATGTAAATATTTTCAACTATTTATGTAAATGTATAAGAATATATGGTGCCTTTTTATGTTGATAATTTTTTTTGTATTTAATTCTACTTTTTTCAATTTATATCTTATAAATTAGTTTATAAAAACTTCAATGTTGTAAAGGGTGATTTTCAAAAGTTGAAAAGTTAGCACTCATAACAATTGATTTTTAAGGGTTGAAAATGTATGAATTTGTATTTTAAAGTATAAAAAACTCACTATTTAACTAATCCAAACCAAATTTCACTCATCTTAGGATTTGTAATATTATTTTACAATTTTTGAAAATTAGGGGTAGTTTTAACCCTAAGAACAATCAGGGTTCATCGGCATGACATAAACTATAAAGCAGAGGGTGAGTTGAGCTTAATTCCATATTTTTATGCAAGTCGTTTCAAGGTGAAATCATTTTCTTCGCATTACTAATTTTTTTTGTATTAATCTCTAATGAGGGTCGCTTTTTAAGGGTTGGAATATGATGGAACTTTATTGAAAAGCACGAAACTATCATTATTTAATTAATTCAAACCAAATTTTACCTATATTCAGGTTTAATATGGTATTTTATGATTTTTGACAATTAGGGGTAGTTTTCACCCCTAAGAACAATCAGGGTTCGTCGACATGACATAAACTATAAAGCAGCGGGTGAATTGAGCTTAAATCCAAATTTTTATCCAAATGATACAAGGCGAAATCATTTTTTTAGAATTAGTAATTTTTTACATTAATCTCTAACAAGGGTTGCTTTTTAAGGGTTGAAATATGATGGAACTCTATTCAAAAGTATAAAATAATCATTATTTAATTAATTCAAACCAAATCTTACCCATATTCAGGTTTAATATGTTATTTTATAATTTTTGACAATTAGGGGTAGTTTTCACCCCTAAAACCCTTCAGCGCACTTCGGTTCGATATAGATTTTGATCCTTGGGCTATTACCTACCTTCTGCTAAAATTTCATATGGATACATGCATGACGAAAAAATTGCGAGGTTTTAACTTTTTTCGAGCTTCAATTCCTGAACTATTTTCGCCTCCTTAGACAAACCCGTCTTACGCAAACAACTTTGTTGTGAGATCGATAGTTGAACGATATTTTATACAATGTCTATACCCAGGTATGGATTTATTTTTGTCCAAGTTTTATATTGGTCCACTATTTTAAATGCAGTTCAAACAGACATGTATTAAATTGTATGTTCCGTTTTAATTTGGTTCAATCTGTATATACTACACTGCACATTACGAAAAAGAGGCCACCTAGAATTTTGTAAGAATTTTTCAATTACTAAGTTTATACAATATATTCTATTGTAACTAAATTCCTACAATGCAGAAACACTTTTAGCGTCTTTTAGGAACCGACAAATGGTGCCAGCAGGTCAATTAAGGGTAATAAATTTCCAGAATTGATATCAGTTTTATGACTTCGGATAATGCATGTGGTGTTTGTACCTTCTGTTTTTCAAAAACCTTTCACTAGTGTACAGTTGTTTGAAGAGTAAACTTGTGCAATTTTTAAATTAAAAACTATGGCTGAGAAATTTTCTACATCTGGTCAAACTGTTACTTTGATTGGTAATAGAATGTGTCAAAGAGAAGTGGCCAGACAGCTTGGAGTTAGTTGTTGTATGGTCCAAAAAATTTACCAATGATTCGTAGAGACTGGACCTTGTGAACAACGACCAGGATCGGGTCTGAGAAGAATCACGACAGCCAGAGAAGACTGTTCTTTACAACGCACTTCATTGCAAAATCAGTTCTTTATGGCTAGAACAATCCAAAACAGTCTTCAAAATGCTCACGGGTGGACTTTGGGCACTTCTATCGTGAGAAGAAGGTTTAGAGAATTTGGTCTAAGGGCTTGCTGTTCAGCAACAGGACTTTGTTAACAGCAGCACATTGACAACACTGACTACAGTTTGCTAAAGACCACTAGCATTGGACGATAGAAGATTGGAAAAATGTTTTGTTTAGTAATGAGTCCAGGATGGTTTTTTAAGGCTCAGATGGTCACATCAAACCATACAGAAGATGTGGAGAATGATATGCTGCTTATGTTCGACAAGTATGTGCTGCTTTTGGAGGATGTTCAGTAATGTTTTGGGTGGCATTTCATTTGACGGCCGTACTGATCTTGTATTTATTGAGGAGCGTTGAATGCACACCGATACATTACCGAAATTCTAGAAAAGCATGCAATGCCTTTTGCTGGGTTTGTCGGCGAAAACTTTCTTTTTATGCAATATCTAGAATCTGTTGGTGTGGCAAAAATGAACTGGCCGGCTGAAAGCCCAGATTTGAACCCGATTGAACATATTTGGGACCAACTCAAACGAAAGGTAAGAAACATAATATCTGCTCCAATAAATCGTGAGCAACTTCCGTTGGCGCTCATGGAAGAATGGGAAACTTTTCCTCAAAATGAAATCCAGAATTTGATCAATTTATTGCCAAATCGAATGAGGAGTGTAATTCACAATAGAGGTGGTAATACACAGTATTAATAATCACGATTTAATTATAATTTTATAAATAATACAAAAAAAATGTACAATGTTAATTTTTGGAAGAAGTTAGTTTTTGACATTTGTTATTTAAAAAATGATTGTATACTGCTTTATAACATATTCTTAAACATTACACAAACATCTACTGACAATCACTTTGTGGTATGATTGGTAAAAAATAAAAAATGGCAAATTTACGTGGCCTCTTGTTCGTGACACGCAGTGTATTATATTAAACACCAGAAAACTCAAACTATCTTTCCAATCATTAATTAAACACTGCTGCAATATCAGATACTGTTTTTCTTTCTGTGATCTTTTGAATTAAATTTTTCAACTTTTTCCATCCTACATGTTTACCTTTACCACACATTTTAATCTTTGTTACAGAATTCTAATATCTATTTTAAATAAAACCCTGAAATTGTTAAAGTGTATCAATATCTTTTCTGGATATTACATCTCCCATCATTCTTTTTTCTTTCTCTTCAATATTCATATATTAATAATTGGTAATCCATTTATATCATTTAATCTTCCAATTTATTGAATAAATTTGAACCAAATTTTTGGTCTGTTTTCTTTTGTAGTTAGCATTTCTGTCTTAATGCTTTTTAGTTATTTTCAATAGATTCTACTAATTTATTTATAATCTGACTTTAATTTTTATCTAAATTGTTTATTATTTGTACCCTTTCAAGTCTTATTACTTTTTAAACTAAATTCATTTTTTGCTATATTCTTATTTTCTCATTTTACCAATATACCCTCTTTTCATTAGTGGGCTTGATATCTTTTTTTGTAATATTTTTGTTGTGCATGGTATAATTTTTAAGAAATCCTTATTTGTCTAGTAATAATTACAGATTCTTAATTTCATATAGTTGTACATTAATAATTTAAATGAGCTACTTAACCAACCACACATAGAAAAAAGATTCAGGTCAAAAAGAGTGTAACTTAGCCAATAATACCATTAGTATGTTCTGATTGCTAGTAAATAACTTAAATACTGAATTTAAAGGTTTCTTTAAAACGTTTAAATGAATTAGTTCTTGGAATAAATTTAGTGTTTGATCCTAATTATGGACAAATTTATTAGTTAATTTACAAAATTGAACAATTTCATAAATGCAGTAATGATAAATATACACTTAATTAATTAGATCTTGCACAAGTAGACATGATGCAACACAGTTTAACAAAGAAATATTAATTGTTAAAACATTTACTGCACTTCTTATGCATAATTGTATTTGTCGTGTTAAAAGTTGAAGGTTTATGGTGAATATATGTTTTAAAATATGATAAAAAATTTCTAAACTATATTCATATCTAAAAATAATAAGTTAGTAATTATTTGGATTACCTGATAAAGAATTTGCCACTCATTTTTGGAATTCAACTCCAAGTATTCTGATTCAATGTTGTTGCCAGATGTCATTGTGATTTTAAGAAATAACTTTAGCCTTCACAGAATTTATAAGTGCCGCTATACACATCAACTTTTAGTATAAAATGTTTTACTAAATCGATCGCTAAACTTTATAGAAAACTAACAGCCATGATTTGATAAAGAAGAAACATCTAAAAACACCAATTTATAAAAAAAGGAACAAAGAGTTCCTCCGCTCGAAAACGCTATAGCTATATGTAAACGCAGAATACAAAACACGACAGATTTCTCATGTCACATGTCACTAGAATGTCATTTGTCAAATCCAAATGTAGTAGTTAGTTTTTAGAAAATGACAAGTCACTGTCTACTTTAGGTGACATCAGAATAATTATTTTTTTAATTTTAAATAAATTTGCACTTCCATTATTCATGATTATACTTCTTCAATGAAAAAATATGCGACAGTAAATTTATTTGCGGTATTTATTTATTTAAATTATTTATTTATGTGAAAAATAGGTAACAGGAATTTTTGTGTTGTATGTTTCCGATGACGAATCTGTCAAAATATTTTTAATTGAGCGAACGGACTATACTTAATATAAACTTTTAAAGCAATAAAGTATAGATAATTAATAGATAAAAATTAACAAAATTATGACGCCATAGGATTGTTTAAATTAATTTATGTTAATAATTTGACTTGACATTTGACGGATGTTTCAATAATTTGACTTGTACATTCCCCTACCCTTCTGCTTTAAAAATATTCCCATCCGATAAAAAGTTTGATAGATAGTTAAAGTTAACCCAAAAGGTGTTTTTATTCGTTATTTGGAGATAATTTTCAATCTGGACTGTTTATAAGACACCCCAATATGTTTGTAATAATCTGAGCAGTAAAAATTAGTTCGTAATGTGAGTTATGATATCAAACAATTCAGGGTACAAACTCAGGGCCTCTAAAAGCTCTAGAGAGGTTCAAGAATATGATTATGGAAATTCGGATGACAACTATGATCACGGTCTGGACGAAGAAATTAAATCATCTGCATATCTGAAAGATTCTAGAAGCAACAAGGGAGGATCAGGAAGGACTAGGTCTACTGAATTTAGATCCAGTAAAATCAGTGATAGAAGAGGAGGACCTAGAACCAGAGGTTCCGGTTTACCAGGGAGGAAAGATTATTCTGATAATTTTTATAAGAGAAATTTCGATCCCAGAAATTCAGAAGTCCTTGGTAAGGAATATTTTATTTTAAAATTAAAAGCTATATTTGTAATACAAATAGTTTTAATAGGCATAATTCAAAATAACTTTGATATCTTGGATTAAAAACAGTTAATTGCATGTACAAGTTCATGTTGACTAGGTCAGGAATACCTATGCATCAAAACAAATTATAAACCCAATATTTAGTAAGGAATTTATTTCCCTAGGTGTTGTAATTTTATCCAACATTATTTGAAATTAAAAACTGATTTGTATTTAAACAGCACAAAAAAAGTTATGTACTTAAATAATAATTATTTTTAATTGACAGAAGATTATGTATATTCAGCATATTTGAGTTTTTAGATTTCAGCAAGAGTTCTCTTTTTTTACATAATATTACAAAAGATATTCCCAACCATTCAAAATGTTACAATATTTCTCCAATATGAATTATGCAGATGTTTTTAATATATTTTAAATCAAAAGATATCCTTATCATAAAATTGGGTCAAAATGTTTATGCATTGTAAAGTTTTTATTTTAATTAAGGTAGTGTAAATCTTACTGCATTAAAAAAATGATATTTTGAATGTTTTCAAATATAAATAGAAAGTAAAGATTTTCTGCTAAACCAAAATACATATGCATATTCTTGGGGAGTATGTATTGTAACAATATAAATGTATTTCTTTATTTGATAAAAAATAGTTGAATCTAGTTTCGAATAACAATATCTTTTGATTTGTATTTTAAAACCTTGGGGACAAATTGTGATACCATTCGTGAATACACTTGTAATATTTAGAGGATTGAATTATTTATACTATGAGTATGCTATTATCTTAACTTACATTAACCAGAGGATATGTTGAAATATTTTTCTTAAAATAATATGGCTGTTATTTACTATAATGATGGTAGGATGATAGAATGAAAATCCTGCTAACCAATAGACATAAACACTATAATGTCTGCTCATGATTTGGAACTAACAGAAAAAATTGTACATACTTAATGCATAATTCATCAGACTTTCAACCAATACACCATTCCTAATATGCCTATCAAGCAGTTTCCCATAGTGTTCAGTACAAAACCCATCAGATATATCAGCCTCAGGGACTTAGTCTTAACCACTCTTTTTCTCCTTAGTCTTAGACTTAGTCTCCATGCTTTTGGTATGCACCCTAATCATAGGCTAGCCTGCAGTATCTTACATATTTTTTGTAAAGACAGCCATTTTCCTTCTGTAGAAGAATTGGTTAAATCCCCTCCAGACCTGGTGATTTATACAGCACAAATGAGTTTATTACACATTTGATTTTGTCCTAGTTCATCACATGTTTTGCCACATGCCAGTTTTCCATAGAAGCATAAGTTATGTTATTTATTCCAGTTTGCTGCCATGTGTCTAGTGGTATCAGTTTTGTTTGAGGCTCACGAAGGTGCACCATGTAAAGTTCTTTCAGAGTCTCTTCACCATTTAGAGTGTATTCACCTGACAAATTTTGTAACAAATATTTTGTCTACCACATTGGGATCATTATAGGGGGCTGAAAGTTGGGAACAGAAACTACTGGGGTGGAGATAGGGTAAGCAAAACAAATCAAAATGTTAGCGAATGACCACACAAGGTTTATTTGAGAGCTTGGTTGTAGATAAGTGAGTGGGCAAGGGGGCTCGTAGGCAAGGGGACTGAATTGGGGCTACAAAAATGAAACAAAAAGGTACTTACATGAATCTCCAGGAACAAAACACAATTCAAGAAGATTCTCAAGCTATATTCTTCAGATAAATGGTGTGTTGTCTCAATCTGTTGACATCCTCTCTGGAGTACCACAGGGGTCACATTGTTTTTTTCCTCTTTGTTACAACTTTTTTCTACAGGGGTCACAACTTTTTTCCTCTTTGTTAATGAAGTTGAGAAAGTCATTAAGTATTCAAAATTTGTCAACTTTGCTGATGATAAAAAAATTTATAGTCATTACTTGTCAGTATGATCAAATTCAGCTACAAGAGGATCTCAGCAGATTTAGCGATTGGTGCAAACTAAGTGAATTAAAATTGGACATTTATAAGTGTTGTGTTATTACTTTTCAGAGGAAGCAAACAACTTTAAATTACGATTATATCATTGATAACACTCAGCTCTCTAGGCAGGACTGTGTTAAGCATTTAGGTGTTTATTTTGATTGTAAATTAGCATTTTGTAAGCATCTAGAGGTCACAGTAAACAGTGCATTTAAACAAGTAGGGTTTATAACTAGAAACACTTCTCAATTTTCATGTTTTGTTTTACCAATTCTTTTTAAACAGCTAAGCCACACCCTAAGATCTACAATTTTAATTACTACAATTTCTTAAATTGTTATGAAAGCAATTATTATTAGAAAATGTTTATTTTTCTTTTAAATATCAACACAACAGAGTTACCTGGATTTCACTAAAATTTCTGTACTTTAAATTTCTGTTGTTGAAACTGGACTTACTGGAGGTTTACTGCCACGCAAAAAATCTGCATCTCACACTGCGAATTAGCCTAGAATGACTTTAGACAGACAAAATGAGGATTGTAAGCTGTTTACTAGGACACAAATTTTAGACTCTGCTTCATAAAAAACTCGAACACATGTGGTTATTCTTCAATGTTTCAATGTTGTAAACACTGTTTTACAAATATCTCAGATGAGAGACGACATGGAAAATAAAACACAGTGATTACTCGTTCAAAATGACACATTACATTGAGTATAATTTACCTTTTCTAACCAATTTGCCCTTTTTAATAGTCTCATTTGCTCCAGATTAGGAATATGCAATAGTTGTATGGAGACCTTACCATCAAACATATATAGACAAGCTTGATCGTGTTCAGCATAAATTTGGTAAACACTATTATTACCTTAGTGTTTTTGTGACTCTATCCCATACAGTTATAGTATGATAGTGATCACTTGAAAGGGTTTCTATGAATAGTGAAAAGATTTTTTTGCCTAATATTTCTTTACAAAATTGCTAATTAATTTGATAAATTGCCCTATAACTTTTAAATCGATTAGGTCTTAACACTCTTCATAGAACTGGGCATTCTGTGTTCTTTCAAACCAATTTCATCAATTTCATTATGATTACTTCAAGCCTTTACTCATTTGGTGAGACTTCATTTTTCTTGCTTGAAAAAACGAATCGGACTGTAGTTCGCACAGCTTTAATTGGTATTCTGCTGATTGGCTCTAGATGTTGATCCCATTGGATTGTTAAAAGCTCAAGATCCGGTTTTAGTGCATCAAATTCCGAAAAACCTTTTATCGAATTCTCTTTTTATATCTGTAAGAACTTTTGCAAACCTCGAGAAATCAACCATGGTTTCTTCTTGATTTATTTCGAAAACATGCAGGAAAAGGTGTGAGGTCATTTATCTTCATGCAGTTCTCGAAAATATAGAAGTTTTTTGCGAAATATCTCAATTTGACCAAACCAACTGTGATACTGTCTTATTTTTCCTTTGGAGTTGTAGGTTTAATGTGTTCCAAGTGAGAGGTAATGTTTGTTAGAAATGCCAGTTCATGAAGAAATGTTTTGTTCTTAAGCTTTGTTATAAATATGTAGTGTTGCCCAAATGCAAGAACAAGACGAGACTTAGACAGTCTTGGTCTTGGTCTTGCACCAATACACCTGGTCTTGGTCTTGCTATTGCACTCCTAGTCTTGGTCTTGTCTTGCAGCAAGAGTCTTGCAAGTAGTTACCCATTAGCCATTGCTATTTATTCAATTTACTTTGGATCTTAGAACAACGTAACAGAGTAAGTACATTTTAAGCTTGAATTAACATAGCCATAATAAAGACCAACCAAATTAATAAATGTCTAAACAACTGACACCCGGTGGGGTTTGAAGCCACGATCTAAGCGATCCGTGCCTATGCTCTAACTAACTCAGCTATCTACTATTCCCTACGGAAGTCAATCTGTTTCTTAATAAACGTTTGCGTTTGCATAAGCTTACATGTGCTAAAACATGGTTAAAACACAGAAAACCCAAATTAATGACATAAACTGTATTTTAAAGAAAATTATCTTTCTAGAAAGGAATTGATGGACCCCCAATATATATGAAATGGAAATCTTAAAAAAGATTGGTATGTGGCAAAAAATTCACATGTATCAAGGACACAGATTCTTTAGGTGATCAGATAACAAACTATAATCCACTTATTAAAGCAAAATAAATGTTGTTAACAATCTTAGCTCTACTTTTATATAAAATACTAACTTGAAAAATAAGGAATAGGTAAAAAAGCAATGATAATCAAAAGAATTATTTTAAATTAAGGAGATACCTACTTAATAAATACATTAATTTACCCAAATAAAGTAGTAGGTACATAATATATGTGATTGGTAATAAGGTAATAAGTATATTTTTTTAACATGTCCACTTTTTCCAGCGGTTATTAAAAAGCTTGTGATATCTCCACGAATTTGTTTGGAAGAATATTTGTAATTCCTTTTTGTGAAAAGATATTAGATGCTTCCTTAATCCTAACGTGTTTCTGTTTTTCATTTTCATTTCAACCTTTCTATGTAGGCACAATTTACACAAAGCAATTTGGGATGCATGAATTATTTCGAAAAACTCATCAAATTTGCTTTTACGTCTTTAGATCTACACCTCCAACTTCACTACTCCGACTAGAACTATTTGAATCTTTATCTATTATGTCAAATTGTAAACTTGTCACTCCGAGAACAACAAGGATTAGATGGAAAACAATAATTATAACATTAGACTCAAAGAAAAGCTCAATTGGGAATGAAGTTTAGTGATGTCGAAAAAGTAACTACTACTAGTTACTTTATGTTCGTTACTATCTCAGTGGCGCACCCAGGGGTGTTTTGGGGGTTAAACCACCCCAGGGCACTATTCCGACACTGTTCCTCACAAATTTTAAGGACTCGAAATGGAGGTAGCATAAAAAAAATTTCCTCCTCACAGGAAAATTCTGCGTGCGCCACTGTACTATCTA